CGACCAACTCAGCAATTCCACCGGCCGACATGGTCGATATTGTGCTCAGACGACTTTGATCCAGCAATATTGTGAGAGAAAGGAAAGAAAGCAAGTAGTTCTTTTTCCCTATTCATTGGGATAGTTAACAATGTTAATCCGTCTTCCCTAATTCCTAGACGGATAATTTTGTTTCAAAAAGTAATGTAATAATAATTGAATGAAATAGAGTACTTTCTCCGGTCCTTATTATAAAGCATTTTAATTTTGTCTTAGATAAAGTCTTTTTAATTAAAAAAACTGTAAAAATATATTTTCATATTCGTTGTGTTCTCCCTTTTTTTTGTGAAAATGTAAACTTGATATATATATATATATATATATATATATATATACACACCAAAAAGAGTTCAATATTTACAATGAACAAAATTTTTCACTTCCTATCAAAGAACATAACACTGCTCAGAGAAGAGATCCTGAACAATGAAGTTCTCAGTTGCTGAATTCTTACTAATTGCCCTTCCTTTGAGTCGCCAATACACCTCTTTTTTAATCTGCTTAAGTATTTCCTCCACAGATCTCACTTCAGTACTGAACAGTCTGCTATTCCGTTCTTGCCAAATCTGATAGATCAAGGCCACCAAAATTGCACACCAGATCTTGTAATTGATATTAGTGCCTTTCCAAACATACCTCACATCACGTCTCCATCTATTCCAATCATGGGATATAGTACCAATCCACAACCATTCTCTAACTTTATAGAACAGATCAGCAGACACAACATAAGTGAAAAACATGTGACCAAGACTTTCAGAATCAGGTTGTCGTAATGCACACATGGGGTCTATCCCTGTGATGGACATTAGTGCCAAACGATCTTTAGTCAAGCATCTACCTTGCCAGACTAACCATGTTATGAATGTATGTCTTGGTACGTTTAAACTAGACCAGATAAAACCTGATTCAGGGACCTTTGGGAGTTCTCCTTTTAGCCACTTGTAACCAGCTGCTACAGAATATAAACCTTTCACATTTGCCTTCCATTTACAGCCATCAAATCCCAATCTTCCAAGGTCTCTCACCTTCAGGATCTGTTTCCAATGCCAACTGGCATCGTTCTTTGTTTCCACATCCCAAATACTTTGCCCTTTTAGATAGATTTCACGGATCCACTTCACCCATAACATGTCTTTATTACAAGCAATATGCCAAACATGTTTCAGGATTGCAGCCTGATTCCAAGTTCTAATGTTCCTTAAGCCTAGACCCCCTTCCTTCTTTGTCCTACATATTATCTCCCAGGCTACCAATGGGACAGATTTTTCTGATTGGGTTTTTCCCCAAACAAAGTCACGACAAATTCTAGTAATCTGTTTAATAACACATTGATAGTGGGGGCCCAATATATATGCAAAGATAACAGGACAGAGTTAGTTAATTAGACTCTACCCGCGTATGATAAATTTCTTGAGCTCCAACATTTAAGTCTCGCCATCATTTTCTGAATGAGATTATCACTCTCTAACTGCGTCCATTTTTTCGCGAAAGAGGAACTCCCAAATACCGCATGGGAAATGCTCATTCCTGAAAGCCAGTTATATCACACAGATTTTGCCTTTTCGTAGAAGGCCCTCCTCCAAAGAAAATCTGCGATTTCAGTGGATTGGGGAATAAGCCTGTAACTGCAGAGAAGTCAGCAAAACCTTCAACAAGGCTCTGGACAGTTTTTTCATCAGCCCTGCTAAACAACATTAAATCATCAGCAAAGCATATATTGGTTAGCTGAAGCTTTTTACAGAGAGAATGGAATTTAAAATGAGGCTCAGCTGCTACAAGTTTCAGTCTTCTTGTTAAATACTCCATAACTAGAACAAAAAGGCAAAGGAGATAGGGGATCTCCTTGCCTCAAACCACGTTTTCCTTCAAAATATCCCTCTCGAGATCCATTCATAGCCAGCGAGAAGGACGTGGTTGTTACACATTCAAGTATCAATTTCGAAAACTGAGCAGGGAACCCATAACCAGCTAACCTCTCTGCAATAAACTGTCAGTCAACAGTGTCAAATGCCTTCTGAATATCTATTTTCATTAAGCATCTCTCTATATTTTGCAAGTTTAGTCCCTGTTATTTTTTCTCTCTCTTCCAAAAAAACATCTTTAATCTTTCAACGAGCATATCTCCCAATCCGTGAAGAATTTGTGAACGAATTATATATGAAATTTATAGTACTCGTCGAGATCTATCCAACAAGATCCATAGTGAATATTTTTTCGGGATTAAAAATGACTTAATTCTGATGGACAGAATAAAGGTGGATATCCAGTTTTACAAGATGGATAACCAACTTGTTCTAAATTGGTTATCCATTGTGTTTATGCTGATTATCCAATCAGTTTGAACTGGTTATCCATTTTATTTGTACTGCTTATCCATTTGGTTTGTATGTCTATCCAACTTGTTTGTAATGGATATCCCACTTGTTTGAAATGGATATCCAACTCGCTTGTACCGGATATCCATCCATTTGGTTTATCTGCTTATCCAACTTGTTTTGTATTTGTAATCCAACGAGTTTGTATGCATATCCAACTTGTTTGTGCTGGATATCCAATTTGCTTGTACTAGATATCCATCCACTTCATATTGATTATCCAACTTCTTAATTCAAAATAAGTTGGTTATCCATTTTCTTAAACTGGATATCCAATGTGTTCATATTGATTATCCAACTTCTTTGTGCTGGTTATCCAGTATGTTTTTCCTCGCTCTTTTATGAAAATAATTGTCAAACTTTTTTGTACTGATTATCCAACGTGTTGCATTGATTATCCAATTATTTTCTATTGATTATCCAAATTGCTTGCAATGCTTATCCAATCATTTTTTCTTTTTTTTTTTGAAGAATGAATGTCAAAAATATAATTGGATAACAAGTACAAACAGAATGGATAATCAGTCTAAACCGGTTGGATAATCAGTAGGAACACAACGGATAACCATTTTTCAAAGAAAAACAGAAAACACATTTCTTCATTTCTGCCCGTAAAATTTAAATGCATTTAAAGTTCAAAAAAAATATTCAACATGGATCTTATCGGATAGATTTCGTCGAGCACTATAAATTTCATGTATAATTCGTATTCTAATTCTTTACGGATCAAGATATATATGCAATACAAGAATCTTAATCTAAACTAAATTGGTTATCCATCTTTCTAAACTAGATCTTCATCTTATTCTGTCCATCAAAATTTAGTCATTTTTAAACTCGCAAAAAATATTCGACATGGATCTTGTTGGATAGATCTCGACGAGTACAATAAAATTCATGTGTAACACATTTTCTAATTCTTCACGGATTGAGAAATATGGTCGTTTAAAGATTAGAGATGTTTTTTAAAGGAGAGAGAAAAAAAATCAAATGGACTAAACCTGTAAATTATAGGATGTTATTTAGAAAAGTGTAAAAAAGTGTAATAAGGACTAGTAGTGTAAAAAATAGGAAGGGGAATATAGTGCCCCGGGTATACTGGATAAATTGCCGTACAACACTAGTTTAATTGATTATTACCATTAGAGTTCCTCTTTCATTTGATTATACCATTAGACTTCCTCTTTTGCCTCAAACACTAAAAGAAAAAAGAAAACCGCAAACACACACACACCGAAAATGTTACGTGATCTCTTATACGAATTTTTGGAAACATATGAACAAGCAAAAAGCCAAGAAGCCCAAAATCAAAACACAAATACCGAAATATATAGATACGTAGGTGGGACGTGGCCACACTAAAAGCCAGAATTGGATGGAGTGGGAGTAAATAGTAATGTGAGGGAGATTTTTGGTTAGTATTTTAGGCAGCTGGTCAAAGCCTGAACCTTGGCAAGCCTGCTTATCTATCAGTTAGTCCCATTTTGGAGCTGCATGAATACCAAATGTCAAGAGGACCCCCGCATGCGGTTCACGTGATCCCCCATGCCCCTCTAATTCTTGTGACTTCACTCTTTTTCCACAAAAACAAAAACTCCTCCTTTACCTCTCTTGATCCACCTCTGTAACCAAATCCATATACACTCTAGTTTTTTTGCACAACCCATGATTCCATCCCCTATTTATCTGTATATCAGTGACTTCCCAAAAAGAAACAAGTTATGTGGCTGTCAACATGTTCAGATGCACAAAGAAAATTGAAAATACAAACAAATTGGTGTACGCAGCACACACGGCTGTACGAAGTCGAGTGCTGACATTAAAGCGAGCTATTATTACAACCTTTTTAATTAAAATTCTTCAAAGTCGGAATGTTCAGCAAAAATTAGACAATGTGTTATAGCAGATGTTGACCTTTTAAAGCTCCTCGGAACTCAGCCTGTTAAGTGCTAACTGTTTATTTTATTGATATTGAATAATTTGACTCCGAAAAAATACGATTTCATTTTTTGGGTCAATGAATAATTTTGCATAGAGAAAGTAGGTATGTTCTTGTTGACTTGGTCAGATAAACTTTTTGGTTTTGGATGGAATCGTCAAAACTTTACCGAGTTTTTGATACTTGCATAAAATTGGATATTCAACCCCACGAAACTATGGAAGGGTGAATATACTCTTTCGTTTAAAACAAGACACAATGAGGGATAAGATGCTTTACTATCACTTGCTATGTTTCGACTCTCTACCTAATCAAATAGCTTTAAAAAACGATCGACACCCTCGATCTCTACTAATTAAAACTTCCAAAAATAGTAATATGACAACAAATTTCTTACATTTGGTGCTCATTTAAGCCCTCAATGCATAATGTTAAATTTCCCTTCTTGTTAGTTAATATATCCATCGTTTTCGGACTAACAAATGACGCCGAACTTATCATTTTGTTGCATACGGACTGTGTCTCATTTGGTTTTTTTTGGAGGTGTCACTAATGGATACTGGGTGAGCTCAATTCACGAGTTCTTTGCGCATTTAAGTGTTCGATAAGTTGCTAGTAATCCCACAAAAAAAACACACGCGATGTTAATACAGACGGAGAACCAAGAGTACTACTAAAAGGGAAAGCATATGAAGTAGTAGTACAATGAAGTACAATAATAAATTACTATTAATTATAGCTAAGAACATTTTTATATATATTATAATATAAAATGTTCAGTGATTTAACAACCACTAACTATTTTGCTAGAATATACATATTATGGCTAGTCATGTCACACTCATTACCTAAGATCGCAAAAATTGCAAAAGCTAAAGAGCTTGTGACATCAAACTAAAAACCAAAAAAGAAAAATTTCACTATGGTGAGTGCTCTAAAAGACCAGCCAGAAAAGCAAGAAGCCGCAAAAAAAAAATCTGGTTCCCCTCTGCTTAGATGTCTTCATCAAAGCTAAGCTCCACCATTAGACACCTAAGAGCTCCGCAGCGGATAAAACCCTAGACTCAGGTCCAACACCAAATCAGCATCCTCCTCGTCAGCAGCACCCAAGTCCAGCTGGACCTCAGTCTTCACGACCCGATCCTGTTCAATGACCGGGTTCACCAGACTCGGCTCCACGGTTTCGACCGATAACGAATCATGACTGGGTGCCCTTTTCAGCTCCTCCTCCGCCGCTTGATGGTACTCATAATCCTCCTCATCATCAGTCCGAGAGAAATCCCACCCTGTGATGCTAAATTTAGTTGGCTCCTTGATATCCATATGGGTCAGCTGGGCATAATCATCGACCCGCCCGAACTTCCCACGGAAACCCGACCTCTTGAACCGGTTCCTTGTGGTCCTGACCCGATGAATATTATTATTATTATTATTAAGGTTATTATTATAAAAATTAGAATTAAGCCCGTTTGAGTTTTTGCCAAGATGACGTATGTCGCAACCCTTGAGTGGCATGATAGGGTGGCCTTGGCCTACGTCATCATCGGTCTCGGAGACTTTCATGATTGGTTTTCCTGCAAGAACCGCTTCAACCGCCGATTGACAACGTTCCCAGTTCCCGGACCACATCAAACCCGCGGCGCCGTAGATAGGGTTTATGATCCTCCCGCATGCTTCATACAGCAATGACCGAAATATCTCTGCATTTTAATCACGAAGAAAACGTAAGAAATCGACCATTTACCTCAAACGCTTTTGGAAAGATAAAAAAAAATGAAATCTTTTCTGTTTTTTAATTGAGTTTGAATTTGTTGAGCTAAGAAGGAGGAGAAGAATACCGTGGCGGAGGTGTTGAGGGCCGGCATTGACGAGGTTGACGAGCCCGGCCCGGCCGTAAAACTTGGCCAGAAAAACAGTGGCGTTGCCTTGGGCTTCGGGGGTTTTAATCCATTGAAGGCAAGGTCTAAGAGCGCAGTCATCACTGCACCCTTTTCGGAGAACTCTACATCCATTGCAGCTCATTCTCTGAGATTGATGTGTGTAAAAAGGCTAATGCTTTTTTTTTTTTTTCTTTCTTTCAAAGGACAAACAAAAAAGTCAAGAGAGAAATGGATAAAAGGAAGGGAGTTTTGGGGAAAGGGGGGATTAATAGAAGTAGAAGTAGTAGATAGGAGAGGTGGGGAAAATTGTGAGAAGCGACGGCAGGAAACGAGGGGGGTATTTATCTTGAAAAATTGGAGATGATGTCAAACAAAAAAGATGGCCCGCAATGACGAAACACCAATGAGTATTTTTTTCCTTATAAGATTTTCTGCTTTTAACAACAACTACGTAAAATACTCTGCTCTCTACTAAAATTATTGTCCAGTTTGGATCTTTAACTTTCGGTTCAGTTTGTATTAAAAATGAAAAATCTAAACTGAATATTAATTTCGAGGCAAAGGGAGTACCGTGTAAATAAAAATTGGTTTGTACAATTTCTTTTTTTTTTTTTTTTGATGATGATGATGCTTTGGTATTAGTATAATAATAATTTGTTCTCCCTACTTGTTTGGGGTTAGCTTTTAATCAATTTGCAGGATATATATATATATATATATATATATATATATATATACACATATAAAAAGTCTAGTTGTCATAATTTGCCTATTTGAACTGTCTAGGGTCGTTCGTCCCAATGACTCTTTCCCTTGATCATGTTACTTTAAAAATACTAGAACCCAAAATCATTCGTACAAGTTACAACCTAGCTCTTGAAAAATTATAATGAATCCATCTCTTACATTGCAAAATTAATACTCCAATTTCCTTGCAATTAAAATAAAACCAAACCTCAATTTTTATATAAATTATTATTATGAAGCAGTAATAATGGTGGGAGAAACAAGTTGGAGATGGAAAGATGGAGGCAGGAAGAAATAATGAGGTGGAAGTAGCAGGAATCATGCAAAGAACTGTGTGTAAAAGAGATTCTCTTTTATTCTCTCCATTTCTTGGGGGACCACCAGACAGAGGAGTAAAACAGGTGGGGGAAAAAAGTGGTGCGTGATGAGCACGTGAAGTAGAGAGTCAGAACCCCGTGCGGCTCGCCACATATGACACGATGAACAGCCTCCCCCCATGGCTTCCTCTGGGGCCCCATCCCGGTTTTGGGGAGGTTTTTTTGGTTCCAGGAGAAAAACCATTATCCCCGTTATTATGCTGTATTCATAAATAAAATTCTTTACCCAGATTATAAAGCAGGCAACAAAAACCACTTTTGTTTTTATAAGGTATAAAAAAACCACTACTACTTGGGAAAAAAATTTAATTGGGTCCAGTGGGCGCCTAATGTTATTTTTGGATTTGAGATCATGCCTTTGGTTTTTCTTTTTTTTCTTACAAAAAAGTATAGCCAGGTTGATGGTGATGATGTATGAAGGCTTGCTAGTTGTAAATTGTTTTTTTTTTTTTTTTATTGATTGATTGATCCACAACATTGGAGTTTTGTCCGGTTTTTGGATGGTTTTCTACCATCATTAAGACGTTTTTAATGAGCTTCCAATTGAGCAAAAATGGAAATTTGTAGATACCTTTGATGCGTTAATGAGAATTTTGCACATCTCAATTTTAACTAAAAATATGACGAGTCACATTAAATCTTGTAAAAATTACTGTTCTTGGATACTAGGCTTTCTGGAGAAGAGAACCATATAGCTTAGCTTAGCTTAGCTAGCCGTGTGATGATGGTCCTCCTCGTTTTAGATAATGTCTTTCCATAAACACACAAAAGAACATCGACCATTTCGTAATAACTGTTTCAAATCCATTTCAAGACAAAGCCTTGGTGATTAGTTTTGAGACTTGATGAAATTTTATATCTTTCTACGCGGGACTAGAGGCTTCAACATCAATCACTAAATTTCAATTTTTAAACATGCTCAAAAACACTTTTGATATACTCATCCGACCAGAAACATATTGCTTATATTCTTTTACTTTTTGCTTTCTTTTTGATTAAAAAAAGGGTTGGCTAGAAAAAAATAAATAAAAAAAATTCATGTGAAGAAGGAAATATAATTTCTCTTCCTCAAGCACTTCCAAAATCCTTACTCAACAGGTCACTGAAAAAAAGGAAAAAAAAAAAATTATTTGGAAGTGAATGTGAACAACCCAATGCATACCATTCTTACGGTATATACTTTAATAATGATTGATCAATACATAGAACTTTTTCAAAACAAAGATATGCGCTCCATGTTTACCAAAATGAATTAGATAAAGCATATACTTAATGACAGTTGGAACTGGATTTCGTACCACGGAACTGACTAAAAATGGTAAGCCTTAACCAAATTGTGGCTTAATGATGTAAATCATTCTGCTATCTTTAAGTCTCGATTTCTGAGTTTAAAAGGATTTTTTTTTTTTTTTTTTTGTCTCTGTTGATCAAAAGGGATGACTGATGGCAGGACCGGTGAGTTTGGAGTATGGAGTAATGTATCTTAATATGCTGTTTTTTCTGAAAATTGCAAGTAGTACTAATTTTAAACGCTTGCCTGTTCTGGCTCTGCATTCCAGTGTCCCGCCGTTTTTTCATACTACCCTTATGAAGATAAAGAATGGCATGTAATGATTAGGTAATACCTGACATAAGTTTTTCTTTTTATTTCGATGTGTTGATATTATAAGTTTTATTGTGCTTCCCCTTTTTATATCTGCTCATCTTCATTGTGAACTATATACATCATGTTAACAAAATGTGTGAAGAAAAATATAATATCTCTGCTCCCCAAAAAAAAAAAAAAAGAAATTTACCGGAATTTTTGAAATTTGTACTAAAACCAATCAATACAAATATGAAAAATTTAATGTTGACAATTTTTTTGGAACCGAAAAGAGTAAACATCAGCAATTGTAATTTATTCTCTTGTTGAGTTGTAGATCTTTCAATATCTCGATAATTAAAACAACTGATGATTAAAAAATTAATCTAAAAAAAATATGTATTAGAAATGCAAAAAATATGCTGGGACGGGACATTTATTATTTTATTAATCTAAAAAAACCATAAAAAAAAACTAAACAAACATAGCCTCAAGTTACTCTCAAAAAATTTTTAAACAAAGGGTTACTGGGGCGGATAATCTTCAACAAACGAATCTTCTTCAATAATCTCCATCACTCTTGCCCATGTTTTAAAGCAGTCCTGATGGGATGGGTGATAAACCAATAGAATGGGCCTTTTTCATTCTCCTTTCCATGTGTAGACAGCCCAACAAATTAAAATGGATACAATTCGGCCTACATTCTATGTGAATTTACATCTTTTGACTCCCAGAAACAAAGAAATTACACATCAAATGGATATTTGTACGGGACCGGAGGAATACTGATTTTTACTAAGAAGACGATTTCCTTATCATCTTTTTAAGATATGGGAAATTCTTCCCAATATTAAATAAAAAAAATTTACATTTCAACATTCCAACATTTTATTCTTTCTCCCTCTTTCTGCCAATGTGAAATGTAAAGCCTGCAAATTCTCATGCCTTTAACATAAGAATCCAAGCACAGGAATACAATCTGATTCATGATCCTTAACGTGAAATCTCCAATCGGCACCAGGAATATGGGTTCAAGCTCTTTTTACCTTGTTATTGGGCTTCAGCTCTTTCGAGTTTTGTGAATGTTTGGGCCTATTGCAGGTGTTTGTTTTCTTTTTTCCTCCTATGTGTTTTGTTTTTTCGTTTGCAAAAGTCCAGTGAAGTACAAAAATCTTTCGTTTGCATTTTGCAGGTAAAATGGAATAAAACTCATAATAATGCAAATCTACACGTACTTTATGAGTCGCGCCATGAGATTTTCTGTTTTTGGACAAAATTTTTTCAGGAAGAAGAATAATTTGTAAAGCTATTTTTTCAATGGTAAATTTATGATAATTATTATGGCGTCCGTACTACTAACCAAATTCATAAAGAGCTCGTGCAAAGATGGTTTGTTTCAAAAGCTAAACCCTAAATTACAATATGGGCATTACTGTTAACAGAAGATTTTAACAAATGGTAATCTAATTTCAAAAATTAATCAAAGCCGATAGTATGAGTCAGAATGACTGATATGACTCTGGAAAAGGCTCCATATTATGCATCCAGGGGCAGGGGTTGAGTTCTAGATTAACGTTAGGTAGCCACATTGTCAAAACTATGCTCACAATACATTGTATCAACCAACCAATCAGTTAAGCTAATCATATGCAAAAAAACACCTTATCTTAAACGACATATACTTACATTATATAACGTTTGTTACCTACTAAAATATAATAGAATAAATGCATACCGGGGGGATTCGAATATTGTTAGTATCATGAGGGAAAGTATAGGTAACGGTATCGATGAGGCTGAGAAAGGTAGAACCAAAAAAAAAATAAAAAAATTAATGAGTGGACTTTTGAAGGGATCAGTCAGATAATGAGGACAGAAACAGAGTCAATTTGATTCCAATTCCAAATCGCAAACATCCAAAATTCCCCACTAATCACTTTCCTCAGCTTTATTAACTTCTTCCGCCGCACAATACGTGCCATTTTCTCTGCATCGTTTTCTCTGCTTTTCTTACCCAAAAATCTCTCTGCTGCCCTCCCCCTCTTCCTCTCTTTTAACTACACAGTCAGTCTTTTTACACATCTAAATATAAACAATGTCTTCTCTGTGAATGCTGTCCGGCTGCTGCATCATATCTTATACTTGTGTGTAAATATGCCAAGTTGTACGTTTGTGGCATCTTTGCATTAGTTGATGTGTGAAGACTAACACATATACTCATTCTGTTTCGAAATTTTTACACAGTTTTAACCAAGAAAAAAATAAAAAAAAAATTATCCAGTTTAAATTTTTATTTTCAATACAAATTGAACTAAAAATAAAAATTTGAAAAGGACAATCATTTTAAGACAGAGAGAGTATTATAATAATATATCATTCTTTCTGTTCTTTTTTTTATATACGATAAAAGGTAATCTTAAGTAAATAAAGATGTATAACGTAAGACTTGTAAATATATGTAGCTAGCTTATTGCCCACAAGCTTGGCGAAATTAATGTCTCGACCTCCATGGACCATTCTAAGGTTGTATTTAATTTGTTCACTATAATTATGTCTTCCTAAAATGTATGTGTAACACTTCTTATAAATTATAATGGCCTTGAAAAGTTTCAAACTTCACTAATATGAAATTGTTAGAAAATTGATGAGTTGGAGTTCCTAACATCCAATTTCCAGCATGTGCCAACCTGCCACTGACTGTACAGTGTACACCCCCTTTTCAATTGGATTGCAGGCCATAAACCAAAAGAACGCAAACAAATACAAATGCAAAAAACACTGTAGTACTCCTTCTACAATAGTTTGTAATGATGACATGCCCAAGCCCCCAATTACCCATGACATAATCCTGTAACATTTGTTCTTATACTCAGAGCTTCTTCTTTTTTTTTTTGTGCACTTTTTTGTAAAATGACAACCAGTATCCTTTCAATACAGTAAATGTATATATGAAATTAAATACCACCATCGAGTTTAGTACTTACAAGTTATAACTAATTTATCATCTATTCATCTCTGTTAGTTAATTGAGCTTCAGTTTCTTTTTTTCTTCGCTTACGGCAGTAAAGAGAAGAGGGTGTCCGATTTTACGGTTACTAAAAATTGAATTTCGGGACAAATGAAATATATATTTTCTGTCAAAGGAGGATTTACAAGGAAAGAATTGCTCCAAGTGCCTTCACTTGTAGGAAACATTTCAACTACGACAGAGATCAAATATGCAACCACTTAAGGACGTTGTAAAAATTAAAATCATTTGTGCAGCTGTTTGTTCTTCACTTTTTATGCCCTTGTTTTTACCATTTCACTTGGTGGTAGATGAACTGTTGGTGCATGGAATCACAGGCTCGTGCTAGCGTGTACGGATGATCAATCTTCTCAATGTAACAGCACTTAACAAGAGTAGTTGCCATAAAATGTCGGCAAATCTAAGCAATATTTCTGGTCACACTACCTCTAATACTCGGATATCTAAACCGGTTTACAGTTGTCTGGTCTCAGCGGCTTACTACTATTCTCTTACAGTACCTTCTTTCTTATACACATTATTATTATTATTATTATTTTTTTTTGTGCGTGTGTTGAAAACAGCTAGTCCACGTTTCCATTGGGTCATGAGTCATGAAAATAGTTGTGCTTAAATTTTATTTTATTTTTTATCAAATTAGACTCAGTTTGTTTGGTTTTTTGGATGATTTTTCAGATTATTTTAATAATAACTGTTTCACCCCATCGTACTTTTTTACATTTTCAATACATCTTTTTGCATTTTCAATACAAAAAACACCTAAAAACACATAAAAAAACGAAACAAACGTAATATTTTCAAATACCAAAAACAAAAAAAAAACTAAAGATTTGGTGAGAGTAAAAATTATGAAATCAAATGAACCATCTCCCGAAAATTTTTCTGTTTCAGAATAATAATTAAATCAATTTGGGATGGCGATAGTACAAAATCTTAGAAGCTCGATGTTTACATCATAATGTCGAACATTATACGTTCAATGCACATATGATTTTATACCCTGCAGTCACCCTCTTCTAACCCAATTTAGTAATAACTAATAAGGGACCGCGCAATGCCTGTTTTAATATTTTCCCCTTTCTCTGAGCAGTAAAGTTAACACATGCAAAAACTTTACTTAAAAGTAAAAAAAGAATTCCCATTATTTCAACGAAATTTAAACATGAGATTTGTGATAATAACAGTTCACTTTTTATCATCTAACTCAACCCTTTCATGCCCTGATAAACGCATACAGAACTTTATGGTTGTGCTGCTTTGATTTTTTTTTTCTAAAAAAAAAAAAAAAATTATGGTGACGTAATTGGCAACTCTAGTCTTAAAAAGGTCACCATTTGACAGGAATTTTCAGAATTTCAGAACCTAAAGGGGGAGGGTAAATGTAACTACTAGTTAAAACCATGAATCCTAAAGTTAAAAAACTCAGCGCTAGCTGTTGTTAACTTAAACAGTATTGGAATTTTTACCAGAAACATTGACCCGTTTAAGTAGCAAGTGGGCTTGAAGAATGTCTTTGACTGCACTAAATAGCTTGTCAGTAGATCTCATGAATTTAATGTCTTGTATCATCACCCAAATCAATAATTGTTCATAGGTAGAGAAGATGTCTTGATGTTATCACATGATTAAAATAAAAATTATAGAGTAGTTAACCCAACAAAAAGATCATTATTAAATGGAGTAGTATACAACAATTATTTGCAAGGAAATGACTTAATTAAATACCTTTATCGCCACATTAGTTTTTTACTACATATATATTATTTTTTACGCTTTAATTAAGGTATAATGTTAGCAAGAATGTCACATTCCATTTCACCTCTACCTGAACAAGATTGTGAGGATGAATCTACCCCTTAATTAGGTTGGGTTTTACCACTTTTTACATCAACCGAACTTGATTCTTGACTACATATGTACAACCTTAATCAAATTTTATCTTTCTTTTAAAAGTACATTAAGATGTTCATTATAAGAGTAAAGAAAAAACTGAAAAAAAGAAACATGGATGTCTGAAAAACTCCACCCAAGTAGTAGTAAAATTCTCTAGGACGCAGTCAAACCTTGAAAACCATAAAAATTCTCTTCAAGCCATTAAATTGAGACATGTAAATAAATTGTAATAATACCACTATTAATGTACTGTACACAATTGTTCCTTTCCCAGCAAACTTATACTATTCCATGACATCTCATTATCAATTCCCCGTTTTCCCCGGGTAGAAAAATGGTTTAGGCTATATCTAACTCATTAAAGTGCAGCAACCATTTTTGTGTATTATCAATTCATTAAATTGAAGTAACCAATCAAACACAGCCTGGGATCGATTGATGGACGACATGGGCTCTTCTGAATTCTGATCAAGAAAGAAAGAAAGGAAAAAAGGAGAAGTTTTCATTGATGTTTACAACATTACATTGACATATGACAGATTTTCACATCGATAGTTTTGGTCAGAAAAGAAGGGGAAAAGGTGAAGAAGAAGCAAACCAATAATATATATATAAGAGCGAGGAGCTGGAATTGAAATGAAACTTTTGCCCATTTGGGAAACTATAGTGTGCTACCTAGCTATCCTACTACATACAAAATAGAAGGAAAAAGTGAAGTCTTACCAAATCTGTGTCAACGACAAATACACTTTAAAGCAAAATTTCCCGAAGGGTAAAACAGCTCTGAACCACTTTTAAAAAAGGCATAAATTATGGTTACCCAAAATCCATACAACTTTCAAGCTTCCAAGAAACTAGTAGCTATACTTTGCATTTGGCTTAATTGGGCATCAGAAACAGTCAAAAAGCGAAAGAGACACCACAACACACACAAGTATCTAGTTTGATTTGGCTAAATTTTACACGAAACTGACATGTATAGATTTCTAATAAAAAGTGTGATTCTTCCTTCTTCCTTCTTGTTTCCCTCCATCCCAATTGAATTTTAAGTACTAAAAACTGCATTTTGATCAACATTCAGCTGGGAGAAGTAAATTGAACAAGAAGCCTGGACAAGATCCAAACATTATATAATATATAAGAGCTACCCGGAAAAAAAATAAATAAAGCTGAATCTGTATTTACATTGTGAATTTTTCTCTTTTTTTTTTTGGCATCAATTTCTCCTTTCTTTTCACCTGCCTAAGAAAGAAAGAAAGAAAGGAAATATCTTTGCAAAGAGCACCAAAATACACACGGTTTTGCCCCTTTGTAATCTCCCAAAAAACATCTTCTCTCAATCATTAATGAGAAAAACGTGGGTATTTTGGATGAAAATCTAACCCCGGTAAACCCCCCAAAAAAATTAAAAATTAAACTAAAAAATTACTGAAACAAGAAGAAAGAAAGAATCTTGAATCTACTTGTTGTGAAGTTGATCTGGGCAACTTGGAACTCTTCTTTTACTCTCTTGAAAAGAATTAGTACCAGTTTGAAGAGGAGAAGCAGAAGAAGAACTGTTGAGATCAGAAACTCGTGTGTGGAAGTACTTGCGAAAGATTTCTGTCTGACTAACGTTGGATTTCATTAGACGATGATGATGATGATTCTGCCGCTGCAATGCTACTCTGCCTTCTTCTGGAAATATCCGAATGGCTCCAACTCTGTTTTCACTAACAACCCATATTTGCTGAACCGAAATTATCATCAGCGTAACCACCAGATATGAATACAAAACCGACGACGACCACGATGGTGTTCTTCCACCGGAAAATGACATCACCGGAGAACCCACATAAATAAAACGGTGTTTTAGTCGGAATCTTGAACCCCTGCGGCAACAACAGTGCTCTGTTTTTCTCTCTCTCTCTCTCTCACTCTGTTTCTCTCAAAAATGAAAAAACGGAGATAATAAAACTACACAAACACAACACACACTTGAGTGTGAATTGACGGCTTTGGTGAAATACATAGAGGCACAGAGACAGAGAGAGAGAGAGAGAAGGGGGAAGAATGGTCATGCATGAATGGGCCCACCTGGTGATGATGATCACATATATACCCAAAACTATATAGCAGTTGCAGTTGTGGGGTCTCTTGCGATATTAATAATCTAATGATAATTGTTGTACTACTATCTTGTTTTTTTTAATCTTGTTACTACTCCATTTGCTTTTAAAATTCAATAATACTCTTATTAGCTTCAAATCATTTTTTTCTTTTTTCAATATGTGAGCTATTCATCTTTCTTTCTTTTTTCACTGGACTTCTTTATAGTAAATTTACGAGACCAAAAACATTGCTCGAGCCAATAAATTCTTGTATCTATCGAAAAATTTATAATCCGGTGAGAATTTTAGTCAATAATTTGTTGATAGTGAACATTTACGGCCTTATAATATTGTAAATAAAAAATCAGGAAATTTTATTTATCGTGTAGACTTAAAGGAAAGCATTAATTTTGATTTTTTCCCTCTTTCTTATAAAAAGTTGAACAAACGCAAGTTCACTGTTAAGAATAATGACTAATCTTTATTAGTGAATCATAAATATTTTGATGAGTGAAATAATTAGTCATAGGATTTTAATAGTCTCTATGATTTGACTGTATAGCCTTTTTAATACTAGTATAGCACAAGAAGGAAAATAATAGTCAAAATACTACTCCTATTATCGTTCATTAGAATAAATATATATGTGACTTGGTCGGCAAATGATGCTAGAAAGTCTTGAGCATCATGATTTTTAATTGCAAATAATGTCCTTATTATTTGACTTCAACCATTAAATTTGTATATTCTTCAAAAAGGTTTTTTGTTCTTTTTTTTTTTTAAAAAAAGGTTTTGTCTTGAAGAGGTCGACTTCTAGTAGTAGTAGTAGTAGTAGAATGGAGCTAGATACGAAGCGCTAGATAGTAGAGGTAGCATATAGTCCCCTTCCCCTCGTTGATCTCACTCATGATAGTAGAGTCAAATCAGAATACCATTATCATGATCCTTTTCTCAGTGAGTTGTAATGGGAAAAAAAAAATATATATATATATATATATTTAATAATTTGGCCAATCAATCAATGTGACAAGTCCAAGTTACCTAAATTTGGTTGGAACGTAATGAAACTTTATGAGTAACTCTAACAAACCTCATTTATATTTCACATTAATATATTCCTTCCGTTCCATATTATTGTCCGATTTGAAATTTTACTTTTAGTACAAATTAAACTAAAAATAAAAATCTAAACGGGACAATAATTATGGGACGGAAAGAGTATATATTGTCATTGATCGATCCCTTCATCCTCAACTTGTTTTCGTAGAATTAGAGATGCAGCAATCATCCAATATACATAAAAAAAAAAACCCAATTTTTTTCCTAATTTTTTTTACTGTGTTTGCACTGAACAAGTCGTTAAACAAAGAGAACAAAAGGAAAAAAATAAAATAAAAATTACCACACTTGGTTCCCTCGAAGCATAATATGTCAGGAGTGCGATATACACACACCGACTACAAATATTGGCAATGATTAATGTAAGTTAATTTTCGGGTGTCACTTAACATGATTATTCCTTCTTTTTTTTTTCTCCCTAAAAGTTGATAGGATCATTTTTAGAGGTGATATTTTTCTCCATCCTAAAAAAGATTTTGTTGTTTCTATGGTCGGATTCTCAAGTTCTCAGCGTGTGTATCTTTGAGGGGATTTTTCACATGATCTTCATTTCAGTACGATGAGATCACTTGCAATAGTACTATAAAAAAAAAAAAAAAATGATTCCGCTTTGGATGTAACATGCCACGTTAGTATTGCTCATTTTTTGGTGTTTAAGGGGAAATTGCTGGATTATAATTTTGATTAATTAAAGTTTCTTCCTTCGAGAATTGTGATCAAAAGGCACGTGCCCTTGAATTGGGAAAAAAACAACCTTTGTCATCAAGTTTACAAGTACAGTTCAAGTATTAATTTTTAAACCGGGAGTTGAATCAAATTGCATCAACCTCAAACCAATGAAAAAAAATTTTAGGTTAAACACTTTGTCCTGAAAAATATTTACTTTATTGCAAAGCTGTTAACTTTTTGTGTATGTCTTTTGCTAAAACACACAAAAAAAGAGGACAAAAATCTTAGTTAGCTAAAAAAAAAAAAGGAAAAAATAAGGGAGACAAAATATACATATCTGTGTGTGTGTTTCTGATGAATTTCTGGATGCAACAAAATTTTAAACTTTGTACCTTGGATTTGTTTTTCTCTTGCTGTCTTTTACAAACGTTAACAACAGCATTAAATCTCTACTGTGTCTTTTTACTATTTCAATGATACCATTTTCTGCTTGGCCCTTTCCCAAAGTTCATCAGTTCAAATTGCCATTTTCTTTTTGGCCTGAGTGTCCATACCCTTAAACATAAAATATGCATCTGGAAATAAAGACAGTGGTAACGCCATAATACTTGAATATATGTATATCCTGGTTTCATGTCTTTTTCTCCTTTTTCCCTGTCAATTTGACAGTTTCCAACTAATACCCACCTTTAGGTTAGTAAACAATGATTTCAAAAATTGTTATTGCTTCTACTTTGTATGGGTTCAGTTTGAAGATCTGATTAAACTCAAACCTAATCGAGTATTGAGGATTAGTTACACTATTTCACGTCTTATCTGTCCGTCTTAAGAGTCAGATTACAGATGGTTCTTGGCAAACAATACTTTTATACTTATATGATGCTTCAAAGAATTCAGACAGGCGGAAATGAGGGAGCAAAACATCTTTATCAATGAGGGATTTCTAGGATTAACAAATAATATTTCGGGCCAAAACTCAGGATTGCTCATTTAATGTAGAAGTTCCAATTACAATATCCTGGAACACTACTAAAAAAATGAAAAGAAAAACATACTAGCATTTCCTGAACTTCATATGCTCCTGCATTTCTTCTACTTCATGCATCTTGCGTTGCATCTTCAGAAAAGACCAGTTTTCCTACGAGATTTTCAGTTCTTTTGCTTTGACTACACGGTTATATAAAGATTATAAACCAACAGCACCACATCCTCCTAAAAAAACATCTACTTAATACGGGGGAAACAGGGAATTCTCAATTTTGTCCACTCTCATAGGTAAAGATTATGCGAAACCGGTCATGCCAACATTTGAGCCAGTACGAGCTGATTTTCGAGCCGGTTGAGTAGTTGCCTTGGTGAAGTACACGTAGTAATACACATTAAGAATCATTGTTGCAACCACAAAAACTGCTCCGGCTATGAAGACACCTTTCCTTAAGGTGTCACAAGAAAAGTTTTGAGCATATATCATGTCCCTGTACTGAGTGTGATAGGCGTTGCTCTTCGCACCCGCTATTGTACATGCTTCTGCAACCAAGAATGTCATCCTGCAATATGAGTGGAATATAAGTTTAGTCGATGGCTCACATAAGAAGAATCTGCAGACAGATACAATGTATTTACTGACAACTGCAAATTTTTGAGTATATTATATGACAACTGGAGTTGCAGCAGCATTTACGAGAGCCAATCTAGTTTTTAGCTACTTATGAAATTCACACATGCAGTTATTGAGGTCACGAGCTCTCAAATGCTCATTTCATTCCACAACTCTTGCAACACACTTCATTTTTCACCAGTTCTTAAGACAATAGAAGCACAGACAACAGTGAGAATCTGACCATGAAGATATAAAATAGATGATGGCCCAAGCACGATCTCCACCAGGAGCTAAAGGCCTTCCAAAGCACATGCACTTTGTCACCCCCATAAGTATAGACTGACCTGAAAGAAGGAACAAGAAAGAACCCACACCATATCCAGTTGCAACGTCTGACCTATAAACACAGTATGTGCGATTCGTATGTTCAACAGTGACAAGAGTGCCCTGCATTGTGAAAAGCCAAAACTCAATTCTAGGACTATAGAGAAAAGATCAATTCAGAATTAGTGACTTAAAACTGCAAAACCATTTCAGAACATAAACAAAATCTGTACTTTTGGCCCTCAGAATGTTTCTGCATCTCTATTTGACTTGAAACAAAAGTGTAAAGAATGGTGTAGTTATGACCAATATGCAAAAAAATAAAAAATATCTATTGAGGATCACAAGTTTGTCCACACATTCGTATCAATCACAGGATTTGGCAAAGTTAATTATCAGTCATCACAATCAAAGGTTGATCAATGAAGTGTCAATATATCTCCAAAAGCATGAAATGAGAAATGCATGAAAATATGGACTTAGATATTTGGTTAATTCAATCTGATGTAATTCAATTTCTTCTTTGAACTTTTCACAAGTACATGATACAACTGGCGTGTAGAAATGAAACTGGAACGACCTTTTTTTGGTGTCTAAAAATGATTATAGATGTATATGCCACCCGTCTATCAGCTGTTCAGATTGATTATTGTTTACTAATGGATTCAAAAGGCCTGAATTTGGTTTATCTGATGTAATTGTAATCTAATGTACAAATGAAGAGGACTTGCTAGTGGTAAAAGGTGAAACTTTTCCATACATTTATGTCTTTGAGAATGGTGGATCCTTTGCCAAATTCATGTTGGACAACCAGCGGTTAATCTCTTAAACACCAAGTTTCTTTAAAAATTGATTATGGAAGGAACCAATGCACACAATTCATTAAGACAAGTTCTTTTGATACATAACCACAAAATTTACTATTTTCTCTCCTGGCTATTCTTGTGATATGCTAATCTGAAACATACATTTCCAGTTTAGCAAGCCATAGGCTCATTGTAATAGTAACGGAAGTTCAAATCATCCAATTTATTTCTCAACGACCTCATCTTGAAAAAAGGCACAGGTTAGGGGGAAGAAAGGTTAATAATACAACACAAAGAAACCATCTATCCTACTATTCAAAGGTCTTCAGTACAATGTATTGATGATTGCACCCATGAGACTATCAATTCTAATAGTCATAGCATGGCTCATATTAACCACCGAGGCCGATCCACAGAGACTATCAGTATCGGTGTTCTACAGTTTGAAGAACTATCTAAACTGAGGGCAACTTTACATAAACCACTCATGCAAGGTTAAGCAAAACAATGATTAGAACCTTTTTCTTGGTGGGTGATTGGGGGAGTTGAAGGAGATTGTTAGTAATAATTTGCCTTAGTAATTTGTTTTGTTTTTTACTGTTTTATTGAGTTTTTGAGTAAGTCTTTTGACGTTGTTTTTATTGTTACAAAATTTTAGGGATATGGTAACATAATTTCAGATTATGTGAGTAGTGGTTAAAATAGTAGTAGGAAGTTATTACGTAGTGGAAGTCATAGGAAGTTGGGAACTATACATGTTCTCTTAGTCTATAAATAGTTAGTCACGTACAAGGAGTCATTTGCTCCCAAAATCCTAAATATCCAAGATTCTCTTCTCTCTCTCCTCCGTTATATTTTTTAAGCCTTCTTTTTATGTCTCTAAATACTACAGAGATTTATGTAACGGGGAGCCAGAAATAAATCCAACATTAGATACTATCCAAGACAATTCGATCACTGGCAGATGTACATCCTACCTAATATTTAAGTAGAAAAGCAAGCTTCCATGGACTTTGTTCACACAAAGACTGCAGCTTTCAAACCAATCATAGGCTGAACCGTGCAAGTACTATCAAGTATCATGTAGTTAGCATTCCCGCAAGGATTACAGCTTGCATTGCCTTATCTTAAGTTAGCGACATTTGTTTGTTTTGCCAGGAGACTTTCGAACTGCATTAACTAAAGACCATTTGAAAGACAAAAAAGATCAATATAATTCTACCATACCATTATCAATTTTCCTTTTCCAGTAATACCCTTAAATATCTATGCTGCAGCGCTTCCTCTGCTTTGAATGTAAGCTTAGCTTTTCCATTTACAAAAATGCACTGGAGAACTTTATGAAACTCATGTCTAATCCTCAAAATAAAAGGTCAAAATAGAACTTAAATATGAAATTGAAATTTCTAAACCTCAAACTCCTAAGACTTGACTAATTGCTAAAATTACAATCCCACACCCTTTGCAATGGTCCAAAGGACGAAACAATCTACAACATTCCTTAATTCTAGACTACGGTAGAAGAAATGAATAATGCCTGCAATAACATATATTACTTGAAAAATTGGTTGCCACTTCCATTTCCTTTATCCTTTTAGATGAATGGAAGAGAGAAAATGAATGATGCCATCATCTTTAATCTGAAAGGGAAGCTAAGGAACGAAAATAAGATAAGTAGACACTACAAAAAGAAGGGGAAATTGTGTTTCACCTCCCTGAATTTTGAATTACATAAGATGCACAATGGCACATCATGATTGGCAGCATACGGAACTGTAGCATCATAATAAGGGTTCAAGATTTCAGTTTATAAGATACCGTCTTTACATTGCAAACCACTCAAAGACTGTGAAAAAGAACCTAAGTACTGTAAGGCATCTTGAAATCACAAAGAAAACTGTGTCTTACACTTGCCAGTTTCCAGAAAAAGAAAACCCAAAAATGAAATATTAGTCATGTAAGAGGGAATAAACTTCATTTCAAGTTTCAATTAGCCTTTCCATTTACTAATGCTTCCTCCCTTTCTGTAAAGTTTCACATTTCCCTTTTCTTTTTCTTCTGCCAATTATTACTTTGCTATTACATTACATGTCATCTACGAACACCAAAAATCCCCCTCATGAATTCACCCAAACATATAAAGAACACCAATACACCATTTAGCCAAGAACTTAACTTACAAGTGTCAATTCATATAATTCCAGTACAGAAAACCCTCCACATTTCACATAAGTAGACCAAAAAATCCGACGGAATTCACCAAAAGAAACTCATAAAATGCGAAGCTCCGAATCTATACACTTGAAAAGATCAGATCTTGAACAAAAAATCACAACATAAAACACATAAAATCCGAGCATAAAAGCAGAACAACAACCTCCGAGCATAAAAGCAGAACAAAAAAAAAAAAAAAAACCCAATAAAATTTCAATGCAGCAAACACAAATAAGCAAATGTGAGTTAGAAATAAGCAAAAAGCTGGAAGAGGGGAGAGAGAGTTACATGACTTCGGCGGCGTTCAGCAGCGATGGAAAATCCAAAAGCCACCAAGCTCAGAACGATCACTAATAAATGGACTAATGATGATCCTTTTCCTTCCATTGATTTAATTTCTTCTTAAAATCTGATGGGAAATGAAAAAAAAACAAAAAAAAAAAACAGAGGGATTTGTGTAAACAGAGAGTTGGGATTGTGAGGGATTTGTGCTTAAGTGTGTGTGCTCACACTGCTTAGTGCTTACTGCTCAAGTGGCAGTGTTGCTGTTTTTGCTGCTTTTTGTTTGTACGCTCTCAGACTCAGAGACAGCGGGTATAAAGGGTGGGAAAAAAAGGTTTAAGAGAAAAAGTTAATAAAAGAATTTCCACCGAAAAAAATTAAAAGCAATTATTTAGAGAGGAGGGGCCCTAGAGTTCACGCGATTCTGAATTGCGTTGTAAGCACGCGGTTAGTCACGGAGTTCCGATTGGTCAAAGTGATTCGAAATCATTCAAGTGGCATTTCCGGTTGGTAAAAGTTTTTGTTTGTTTTCATAAGCATAAAATTATGTAAAGCTCCGTCCAATGATGAATAGTGATCCAAATGTTATTATGATCTAGACGAAAGAAAATTGTATAATCCAATATATCATGGACTACTGATTAAGTCATCAGTCATGGCACTATAATCATAGTATTAAATAAACTTCAGATGAATTCTCTTTGCAAAGAGTTTCTTGGCATTCTATTTCAGTGAAGGGTAAAACTCTAAATTGAGCTGGTGCAAATGCAATTTTTTACTCTCTCTCTTTTGTTTTTTGGCTAAAAAGTAATTAAGCAAAGACCAAAACATAAACTAAACTATCTTTTCTGCTATAAAGAGACTTTTGAAAATGGATGCCTTTGATGCTAGTTGTCCTCAACATCAACCCTTTTCAATTTCCAGTCAAATGAAAAATTGATTGGGAATATGTTTTTTTTTTTTTTTTCATATTTGCACTGTATCTACCGTCGGCAACAGTGACTAATTCCCTCGCTGAATAATAAGCACCTCGATAGGTGAGACAACTAGCCAAAGTATTTAAGATTACTTCATGCACATAGCGAGATTCGAACCTCACACTTATGATTCTCCTCGATCCATACAAATCCGTATAGTTGGGCGCTTTCCCATAAAGCCCATTAGTAAGAGCTTGGTAACAAAAGCCCAATTTGTAAGTAGAGGTCCATATTGGAGACAACAGTTAGAGACGAAGTTGTTGTGGGCTCCTGGTTTGGATGCAATATCGCGTTTTGTTTGTCTGCCAGGAAGCTGGAGCAAATGTGAAGTGTGACAAAATTAAGAACCGAGGAACATAAAACCTCATCAGATTTGACCAGAACTGAACACAGTTTTGCGTTTTGCTTTGAATTGGACAAAAATGATCGTCAACTTCCATTTTTTTTCTGCAATACACGGTCTACAACATAAGAAAATTCCAAATCAAAGATGTTAAACTGGTACTCCCTCCTCTGTCCAAACACTAGACAATCATTTTGGTACAGTTACGAGATTAGTAAATGTTGTAAAATGTGAGGCTAATTCAAAACTCAAGGAGAGTCCAAGCTATCCTTAAATTCGTTCAAATCCCAAATGCAATCATCCCAGAAAACATCACAACAGAAAGCATTGTGATGATGAAAACCATCAACAAGTTTCATGAGCTCAAAGTCCCAAGATGAAGACCACCAACAACTACTCCCCCATAACATTTGTTCAAACACAGCTCCGAACACGCAGCAGCACCGCCAGTACTCGTCATCATCTTCCCACACGCCGTGATTCAATTGTCCGGCCACCGAAACCTCCAGCTCCTCCACAATCTTCTCTGAGAATTTCCCATCAGTAGCAGTACAACCATTTTGGGTGGTCTCCAATATTTGCTCTTTAACTTGAAGATTAATATTCAACTTCCCGTTCCCGCCATCTTTCCCCTTCAGCAGCTTCTTGCTGATTGATCTCGTCTTTCCATTTTTCTTCTTAGCTGTTGTAGTTGGATTAGTAGCCTTCAACATCATTTCATGATCTCCTCCACCTGAAATGGCACCTTTCCCTTGCTTCTTCATAACTTTCCTACAAGATCTTTTCCCCCGAGATTTCTTTGATCCTAATAAGAATAATATAAAAAACTGATGATTCACTTGACGAGGAATCTTTGATAGCCGATCAGACACCCTTTTTATATACAGAGAAAATAAGAAAGAGGGTATTGCCACTATGTGAGTGTGTGTAAGTTGTTTAATTTGGTAAAATTCAGGTTGCATGCTAATGCTGACGAGATTTCAAAGCCACCGGGTGTTCAGAAAACCCACGTGGCGTTACGTTTGTCGTCTTTGCATGGGCGGTGCCATCTAAAGCTGAAATTCAAAGTCAGAGGACTAGTGAATTTCGATATTTTTATTTTTTTAAAAAATAGATTAAAATGAAAATTGTTGAAAATGTGGATTTTGTATGTTACTAGTAATTAAACTAGTCTACCCTGAACCATTTAGAATGAATAGCAGACCAGATGCTTTGAGGTTCGAAACCCGTATTTATTTTTGATAAGGTGATAGAGAGGTTATATGTATATTTCGAGAAAATGGGCTGCAATGCAAACCTAAAATATTGTGTGTTGTATATGAATGGTGACATAGGTTTTGTCTCATTTCTTATGTAGACAAGGGTTGTTAGCTGGGAAGTTGGACAGGAATACTATCTTTAGAAAAATAGATTTGAAGATTACAAGCGCGCACATTATGAATCTTCGTTGGATCAGTAGCATGAGGCGTCTTAACATTTCAGAATCTATTTACCAATTCCTTCTCATAAATAAAATTCAAGAGTTGAACGGGATTAATATGCGAATGTAATCAAAATCCTCATGTCTCAAATTTATTGTCTAATTTAAATTTTTATTTTTTAATTTAAATTGTACTAAAAATAAAATTTTAAACCGGATAATAATTTTTGAACAGGGAAAGTATTACTTTTCACAAAACCGTGAAGCGTCTTAATTACGTAACTTAATTTTCATTCGACCCTAATGAATAATTTCCAGTGACAAAATGGTAAGATTAGCCCTCCTCATCGGTCACGAATCGTGATGATAAACATAAATAAAGACAAAAAATAAAAAAGGAGAAAGAAAAATGATAGTTTTGTGGGGGGAGTAGAAGAAGACAACAATAGGTCGCGTTAGTAGATCATATGTGATAGACTAGAAAGGGCGGCGATGTCGGGATGGCGTGAGGTTTGTTGACGATGAGGCTAGCTTTTCTTTACCAGTTATTTTGGGAGAGAACTAATCAGATTAATGATGTACTATTTTAGGTCAGGAACCTGGTCCTGTTTTGTGTCTACAAAGTAAAAGCAAGCTCCTTTGGGGTTTGGGTCCGATTCAGTTTTGGTTTTCCACTTTCTAGGAGAGCTCTCTCTTCTTTTCCTCACTCTCTGACATCAACCTCCCCTACCTTTTCCCTAACATATTCCCAAAGACCACCACAATTTCCACCACACCCTCCTACTCCTCCATGTGAATTTAGGGAACCACTTCCCAATTCATCTTTATCCTCTCACCATTTTCTTTCTTTTTTTAACACCTAATTATTCTCAAATTCTCAAAACAAGTCGTTTTAAGATTTTCCAACTGACTAAAGTAATGTCAATTCTTCTCAATTAATTTTGTTTGTAATTTAATTTCCAATGCACTTAATACAAGATATCTGGTATTTGAATTAATTATTAAATGATTATATTCTTAATCTGGGCACAAAATTTAAAGTGACTAATATGTTAAAATAAAAAAAGTGGAGTACTTTCTTTTGGGTCCAAATGAATACTCATTTTATTGCAAAAAAATAGAAGAAATATGTACAAAGCCTCACACAGAACTATTCCTTCCATTCCAAAATAAGTGTCGATTTAGCAAGATGAAAATTTTTTAGAATAAGTGTCGTTCTCACATTTCAATACTTTTTTTGTCCAAAGTTTTCAAAACTACACTCAAAAGAATTAATACTATTGGGGGACATTTTTTTAATGGGGTTAGTTGAGGATATTTAAGTAATTTTATTACCATATTTAAGAGCTTCTTAAACTATGTGCAAATTGCAGGATAACACTTATTTTGAAACGAAGGGAGTATTATAATCCGCCCTACACGCTTTAGCTAACCACAGAGGGAAGTGAACTTTCTAACAATGTGAACAATTGTCAAAAAAACTCCTTCTATTTCAACATATAAGTCACTTTAAACTCTATACGTAAACTAAGGAGACAATCATTTAATAATTAATTTGTGTGTTAAATATCTATTTTACCCATCATTAATTGTTTTGAAATTATAACCAAAACTAGATGAAAAATAGTTAACATCATTTATTGGGGGTAAAGTTTAGAAATTGATCTTTAATTTGCTTAGAAATCCTAAAACGACCTACATTTTAAAATATTTCTGTAAACCTAAAAGGACCTATATTTTGAAATGGAGGAGTAGGACTAATTTACAAGATCATTAACAACAGTTGCACTGTTTTCTAAGGAACAAAAATTTACAAGTCATAAAATAAGATTTCAACAAATAAATATAGTCAAAATAAAGAGATTACTCTTTGCACAATGAACTAGGCTAAATCCTTAATATCCTAAACTAATAATAAAAAAAATTCCTTGATGTTTTCCCTTTGAAACCAATATAAGAGATACTGAAGCATTTTTCATATTAATACCTATTTTGCTGCTTTGGATATATCTGCGATTTCTCTATAAAAGTTCGTAGCAATTACGCTCGTAATATTTGAAAAGTTATTTGGAATCGTTGTCCCAAAATAGATTAGGGATCTACGGTGGCACCAAGATCATGTAGACTTCCATCAATCATCTAATCATTTCCAGGATCGAATTTGTACTTTCAATGATCATAACAACCTGATGTTTTCTCGGATGGAGTCCTATTTTTATATGAACAACATGTTGAGTTATTTTTGCCTTTTAACATAGTCAGAGATAAAAAAAAAAAAAAAAGGATTATATGACTTCGGAAAATGCATTATTATTATTATTATTGTTATTATTATTATTATTATTATTATTATTATTATTATTATTATAATATAAACTTGCTGAAAGAAAATAAAAATAAAATGACTCTCACTCCGTCCTAACATATACATATTGTTCCTCTATTTAGTTGATAAATTTTCATATTCCTTTGAACAATTTTTCTCTTCCAATAAATGAAATCTTCGAGATAGTAATTAAGCATGTTAAATCCTTTCTGATACGCGAAGCAGATAATTTTTATTCAAAAAAAAAAAAAAAGATAATTTTATATCCAATGAGTTGTGTCAACAACTGAGAGTTGGAAGTACACTCGGATTATGGAACATAAATGGAAGCATCCTCCTCAAGCTGTACAAGTACAGTTGGATCGGATGAGAAAAGCGAAGTGGCCCAGACAATTTTATTGGGCTTATGAGCCCTTTTTCGTATGGGCTTAACATTGGATTGATGTTTGCCCACAATCGGGACGAGTAAGATTAACCGAGAATAATTTTTAATTCGTGTTTTGTTCATTTGAACTTTACCTCCCGAAAAGAACCTATCCTATTTGAATTTGGATTGGTCAAAAGTAATTTCGAACACCGAATACTTAATGTACCAAAAATAATTAAAAGATGAGACGGCCTCCGGCACCTTTATATTTTATAAGACTTAGGGAGCTTTTGGTTTGATGTGAAATGTAAGACCATTTCCAATTTTTCAGTAAACAAGAACGTTTCAAGATCATGCATTTCTTCACCCAAAAACACAGAAACAAGTGACGTGCAAATATTGGACCAAAATATCTGGGGAACTGTTATGGACTGGATACTGAATTCTTACCAACATTGATGGGCGTACATAATGAATTGGGAAAAATGCATGAGTTAAACCCCTAATTCTCATAAAGGACCTTATTCGGTTATTCCCACCGTTACGTTACATGAATGCAGTTTTCTTCTAAGTGTGGAATATCGATTGGAAAATTGTACTATAACTCTGGGAGATTGATTATACTTCTTAAAATCTCTAGTAGTAAAAATTGAGGCGGCAAAACCTTTTGATTTCCGGTCTCCTATATTTTTTCCGTCTCAAAATCAAAGGAACTAAAATTTCACATAGAGACGGTTTGAAGTGTCTCACATAAATTATTAGTCCCTCGCACAAAAATGAGAAAAGAAAATAAAACAATCATCATCATCTATTCTTTTACTCAAAGTGTAACATGAGTTACCGAATATAATGCTAAAAATGTCATAAAAATCTGAAAATGAAAAGAAAGCTTGTATTTTATTTTTAAGTTATGTCATTGACTTGAAGGTCATGTAAAAATCTGTAGTTAGATATCTCCAAATGTGATTAACCACCACCCCCCCTCCACCGGCTCCCATTTGCCATGCTTTTACAGCTGTTTGAGCGTTGAACCACCTTGGAGGCTGCAATTTTCATACTTTGATACGGCCAAAAGAGATGGTAATTTCTTTGTTTTGGTTCTATCAATGTTTTCCTTTTGTAACTTTTCTTTCTTACTTTGGTAAAAGTACAATCAACCTTTGTCTAAGACCGAAATAAACTTTCTTCAAGTCAAAAAATGGGACCATACAGTACATTCATCTTCCAATTAGTGCTCCGAGGCAACAAATTGAAACGTGAAACAATTTGTCAACTTCATTCATCATTGCATTTTGAGGCAAAAAACAAAAAACAAAAAAGCAAAAAAGCAAAAGGAAAAAAAAAGGAAAAAAGAGTAAAAACTATACATATCTGAATAGATTATATTAAAACATATAATGACAATTCCGTAAATGTTTATTCTGTGATGATAAAAGATTTTGTGTTCTGAAAGTCGCAACATATTCTGACATTGTAACAACATTACAGCTGAAACAATTTTCCAAAAGGAGCCATTGGGGTTCGAAAAATAAGCAAGAAGTCTATTTAACCAGGCGGCTGGGCCAAAGAAATATGAACCAAAAATCCATTAAAACTTTCAGGCCAGAAAATTCATTAACTAGAGTAGTTTTTTAGGCTTTTATAGACTTTTTTTATTAAAAAAATTGATAATTTATTAGGCCAACAACGCTCTCACAAGACAGTGAAAGCGGAGATGAATTCCCACCATCCAGATTTCAGTCATTTCCACCTACCGTTTTCTGATTTTTCGCGTGGCAAATAAGCAAAGGGGGAATCGGACATCATCAGCTTCATCATCATACCAACAACTGGAAACATCATCATGGACATGCCTCCCGTATGAACAAAAGAAAAAGAAAACAGAGACAAAAACGAGCTATAATTAAATAAAAAAAAGTTCACATAAAGATGAAGGAAACCGCATTGTAGCCGAAATGATGTTTATATCATAATCATAATATATATAAATATTTACAAAGGCAATTGACTACAAAGATGATGACTCATCGACATTACCCACAAGATGATTTTCTTTTTTTTAATACAAATTTCTCATCACAAAGCCGCCTTCCTTTCAAATCTCAAACGACCTCAAAATGGACAACCAATTTCTTTTTCTTTTTTTTTTTTTTTTCTAATATGAAGAAAATTCTGACCCTCCTCCCTCCTCCATATCTCAATACTTACATCATCACAAAAGGATGAAGAAGGGGAAGGAGTCTTCTACCCATCTAGATTTCTGACCATAAAATTTTATCTCCTACACATGAAGAACAAAGGAACTTGAGTTCTTTTGTCCTGGTTAATAAACAACTCGATCTAGTTACAAAACCAGACTGATTTTGACACTCAAGGATGATACACATACTACTTACAAGAGAAGGGACCCTTTTTGAAACATATTTACACTAATCAAAAAAGGATCCATCTTTTTTCACATTCCTCAAATCTGGATTTCCATGATAACTCTTCAAAATTCCTCTTCAACTGCTGTTGTTGCTGCTGCTCCTGCTACTCAAAAAGTTTTGCAATTTTGCTTCCTCTAATATATACTCAGTACTCACTGTTTTTAGTTATTTCGATTTGGGATGGATTGATCAGGTGACCATTTTTCAAGCCAGGGCAGGGATGCTGCAGTTTCTGCGATCCCTGTCGAGGCAGTCAAACCCCTCGACTCTCACTGCCGGATTGTTACCAAAATTGGCCCTCACACACCCGCCGGCCTTCCTGGCGGATGCCGTTGGAGACGGAGCCAAACCGGAGGGAATCGGTATCGCGCGTGGCGACACAGGGGTGGCCTTCTCATCCCCAAATCGAGCGTCCTGAATTAATGGGTTAGATACTCTGCTCGGCGGTGACCCGCAAAAAAAAGGGGGCGACGAGGCTGCCTGTGCACAAGAAGATTGATCTGCACCATAACCACCCTGCAATAACAAATTCCACCACAAAGTTAGATGAAGTCCTTGATCTGGTATAACCAATATAGCTCAACAAATACCTAACTTCTAAAAGCGATCTTAATACTATTAAAATCATTAGGCCTTCACCATCCAACCACCAACAATTTTAAAAGCAAGTATTCCAATTGAGGCTATTTATATAAAGATCAATTTACAAGGAAATAACTTTCATTTGCTGCCAATTAATTTTTTCCAACAAGCTTTAAAAAAGAAAAGCTACCTACTATCTACCCACCAGCAACATCAAGCACAAGAACAATCAACTTAAATAAATAAACTCAGTAAAAGTAAAAAAATAACACACCTTTGCAAGGATGATGTCCAATAGCTCAGCTCCAGCTTTTGCATCACAAACCTCTTGCTGATGGCTGTAAAAAAAACCCATCAGGAAACAGATCATCAGTAATCAATAGGGGATAAAACCTAATAAAATTAATTAATTATACACAATAAGGGAGAAGGCAAAAAGTTCATTTTTTTAAAAGACAAATTACCTAACATGCCATCGGAGGGATCTGATAGGCTCAGCTACCGGAGGGAGGTTAAAGGCTCCAACCCGCCTCGGCTCGGGGCAAACCACGGCATCCCTGTCCCTTCCATGACCAAAATCTTGAACACGTCGTGGGACGGAGGCAGCAACAGAAGCCCTCATCTCTTCATAAGCAGCAAAAGCGTTTTGTTTCATTTTCTTTTAATGGTCTTCAAGTCTCCTTCCAAGAGTTTAGTAATTGTATACACGAATTAGGCCTAACCTGCTTGTCAACAAAAACAAAAGGATAAATTGACATAAGAATTTAGCAAAGTATGAAGGGAAGGGCTATACATATGAATCAGTAGGGAACTTTGACCATACATGTTGAGTTAATTATAAATAAATATTAATTATTCAAGATAGCGGTGGATCTGGTCAAAAATAAAATATGAGAGCTGAATAGCCGGCTGAAGAAATTTTTTCCTCCTTATAAAAGAAATCGTAATAAACAAGGAAAATTTTATGGGACTTCTCGAAGATCAAGTAAATCACTATCACCGATAAATTCAAGGTAAAACTTAGGATTCAAATCCCTTTGGGAAGACCGATTTTCTAAGTTCGTATCCCACACAGGGAAAAAAGAAACGATTTTGAGAGGATCCTCAGGATTTTATCTACCGACAAAACACAAGAGCATACCTAAACAGATCTCTAGGTGAAGCTAGGAAAGGAAAAAGTTTTTCTTTTCCAAACCCTAATCATGAAAATTCGAAAGGTTTAATCTGTGCAGTCAATCAATTATGGAATAGATCTGTAAGAATGCTTGACAATTAGGGATTTTGGGAAACAGAAAACAAAATCTGCTGATTTACAAACACACTGCTCTCAAAAGAATGATCATTTTCCAACAGATCTTATTACAAACTATCTAGCTGACTCTCACCTAAAATCGAATTCACCCAGAAACTTAAGCGGAAAACCGTGATCTTTACCAAAAAAAAAAAAAAAATGCAAAAGGCCCTTAAAATTTGAAGAACGGAAAACCCAGCTAAATTATAGCAAAAACTCACACAGGCAAAACATATTTGAGCTGTAATCAGAGGAAAGATTAAAACTTTGAGCCGAAAAAACGGGAACCCAAAACAGATTGGAAGCTAGAAAAAATCACACAGACACAAGATGATGACAACAAGCTGAAAGAAAACCAATTAGTACCTGAACGAGCTGTACAAAAGGATTTCTCCTCCTATCTAATTTTTTTTTCTCTTTTGTATTAAGAATGAAATGAAATTACAAAGGAGGGAAAAATGAACAGAAGGGGTAACAAGGAAGGTAGTGAAGAAAGAGCCTTTGGTCTTGGACAAGAAAAAAGAAGGTTCATTTGGAGGCAGACTATCAGATTTATACACATGGATGACATAAGGAGTTAATAAAATCTTAAATAGAAAATTGGGTAAAAAAATAAGTTATTTAATTTAATTTCAAAGTCATGTGGGTGTGGGAGGCAACTACTGCACAGCCTGCCTAAAGTAGTTTTAAAAAATTTCAAAATTGTCTAGGAGGACCTAGGACCATACTGTTTGAAATCTTATATTGGATCTAGTCCTTTAAGTTTTGGCATGTTTCTAAATTGCTGCTACTCATCTTTTGTAAATGAACATGTAAAACAGTCTCTCAATTTTAGGTTTGATTTCAACTAAAAAGGAATTTTATTTCATAAGGAGGTTTTTTAAGGTGTGCAAACATGGACGAATAATTAGCTCAGCGACACAATTGACTTTGAGGTGTTTCATTGTCGTTATCGTAATAATTTAGATTATAATTACCTTTTCGATAAACATTATACGGACTATCATTACTTACGATGTACGGAAAGACAATATGTCGTGTTATGTTGACATGTACTTTTCTTTTATGAAAACCTAATTTATTCACGATTCGTTGATCCATACAATAATCGACAAAAAATATTTGATTGGTACGTAAACTGATAGAAATGATTGATTCGCGGAGTATTCAACATAAATCATTTATTTTTTTATAGAAATAATTAAGTTTACGAAAAAATCGAAACTTAATAATGTTTTGTCGTCATCACAATGACATCAACAAACAAAAGGGAAACATTGAGAGGGGAAGGAAAAACTATCGTTTGTAAACTAGGAAAATATAGTCCATTGATGGTAAAATGGAGTTGAAGTAAGAAGGGGTGGAGGAGGAGATCATTTTTATAAATGCACAAAGTTTGTGGGAGGCAACAATAAATTAAGAGATACAATAGGGGTTGTGAAGTCATGCATGCGGTGCATTCCTGCTAGAGATCTCATAGGTTTTCGCAACCACTCCTAAACTACTAATTTTTCCTAATTAATAAAATAATAATAAATTAATGTGACGGAATAAAAAATCTTGTAAAGATACATATCCAAGTGGGGCATAATTAAAAAAAAAAATAAAGAAAGAAAAGAAAGGACTGGGTCTAAAAAACTTGGAAGCGGGTGAAAGGGCGTGAATTGCTCAACGCGCCCACAGGAGAACGACACGTGTGAAACCAGCATGTGATTTTACCTCACGCACCGACTCAATAGGTCGGTAGATCTGCGTTCCTGCGGATTTTGAACGGAACTCATACTTCACCACAAACAATAAACACCCCCCACTCCTTAGTTAATGAGCTGTTCGTTACACTTTTATTTTACTTCTGTCCGTGCCTTGGTTTTCTCATCCCCAATGAGATATTTCTTTGACTTGTAAAAATCAACTCTCCTCCTTGCTAGATTTTTTATTTCTTTAGTAGAAAAGTATTTAGTCCGTCCCCAAAATTATTATTTAGTTTAAATTTTTATTTTTATTACAATTCAGTTTAATTTTTTTTATTTTCCATACAAATTAAAATAAAATTGAAAATGCAAGCTGGATACTACCAGATAATAATTTGTATGTTGTATCCATTGCTAATGAATTTATGATAATTTGTCACGGAACAATATTAAAATTTTTAGTTAAAGACGAACAAGATTATAGTTGGTAGAAAACTTTTTCTTCTTAAAAAGATCAATAATAGTTATTCATTTATTCCTGCGGGACTTGAACGCATAATTTATTGAAAATAAGAGAGATATCTTAACACTAACTACTACTCGTCGTTAAAATCTTTTTATAAGTCATAAGAAACAAAATTTACTTTCTAACGTTCAGTGTATAGAATGAGAGAACCCCATCACAAATAGTGTACAGAACATAAAATTGAAATTGTACCTTACAGTTTAAGTGTTATACAATCATGAACTTGAAGATTCGGTTTCTACCATATACACTAAACACAAATAGCTGATCAAACAATATGAACAAGAAGATTTGAATATGATGTTAAGTGCTCATCCACAACTAGTCCTATGGACATAAAACTCATTAGGGAAAATTTGGATAAAAGGTGGTGGAGGACAAATAATTAATAAAGAGGGCATTAGTTTCGAATAATTTATATTAAAGGCATAATAATTCAACTTTACAAATATGACTTTATATATTAAAAAACTTATTAATATTACTTTAATTACTTTAGCAGTTTATTAATTTATTTTTTTAAGCCCGGTTAGTATAAGAATACTAAAGTAGTTATTGATTAAAAAAATTTTAAACTTAATAAATTTTGATACTATTAAATTAAAATTTTCATTGATATAAAATATGTGATATTAATTTTTTTGAATAAATAATATTTAATTTAAGTGCTATAAAATATCTTGTATGGCTTATTTAAATATAAGGTTTTGGAAAAAGAATTTAGACAATTTTGATTCGTGTGAAAGCAAAAAATTATTTACTTTAATAAAATTAACATTATATGTAAAAAATAAAACCATCTAATAAAGATTAAGAAATATTAATCTTTATTTTTAAATTCAACGTAATTCTATTATTTTCATATTACTATTAAAATATTATCATTTATACACTTTGGAAATTGATCTTAATATATACGTTAAAATCAAATGAAAAAAAATTGAGAGTTAGAGTCATGTTTGCATTATTGAATGATTATGCCCTTAATATAAATTATCCAAGATCATTGCCCTCTTTATTAAATATTGTTTATCTACTGCCCTTAATCCAAATTTTCCCAACTCACTCTACCTCAATGACATCGTGGTTGGTTGTATTAAGATTGACACTTCTGTTTGATAAACTAATTCAGCACTTAAACTTATTGATTAAGTACTTAATTGAGTAGCACTTTGATAATACAATATTATAACAACTTAATTGATTAAGAAGTTAACTAATTAAGAACTTAAATTTTAAGTGCGTTTGATAACTCAAAGTAGAAAGTCTTAATAGATTAAGTGAGTCTGAAATGCTAGTATAATTGTGAGTCTAAAAATAAGTTATAGGCCTATTACTTATATATGAACTGAATTTGGAGACATTTTTTTTCCTATTTATTTATTTTTATGTTTATACTTTTAATGTTTTATCTTGAAACATTTTTATTAATCTTGATGTTTAGTTATAAATTAAAATTTATATAAATTATTTTATTTTAATTTAAAAATTAAAATCCAAAAAAATTCCATGGTCAATATATATTTACCATAAAATATGATATGTTTTTGATAATGGTAAAGAAATGCTATTATTATTAACTGAAAAAATAATTACATAATAAAATTTAATTTTATAATAATATTGTTATTTTTATTATCATATTTCATATTAATCAATTATTTTTTAGATAAAATTATAAGTTGAGATACTTTAAATTTAAGTATTCAGACTTCTGATTTCAGACATTTTTCAGTCTTCAGATTTTGGTTTTTATCAAACACGTCAAACTTAATCAGTTCAGTACTTATTATTCAGTTTTCAGATTTTAGATTTCAGAGCTAAATTAAGTTTTATCAAACGGGACCGAAGGTAATCATGGAGACAAAAGTTTCTCTCAGGAATTGATTGTGGTTAAGATTGACTATTGTTCACCCGAAGAAGATACATAAATATGAAAATCATTGTACCAAAAAAAATTTATGAAAATCAAAATTGGACTTAAAATTGCTCGAAACATGAGCCCCGACATTGGTATATATTTTTCGAAGATGAGAACCTTAATTATTGGATCGAAAGCGAAAATACTTATTCGAGCTAACCAGTAATAGACTATTTCCTTTATTGAATGAATTGTAGTAAGAACAACTTAGAACGGTTCACATAGGCCATATTTATAACAAACAGATCGACGTGTTAATTGTTTTTTACTACTTTTTTTTTTTTAATTTTATTTTCACATTCATCCCAATCTCCGAATCAGAAACAGTTGTCCACCGAGGCTTTTTTTTTTTTGTAACCATGAATAACTAGATGGATTAGACGCGTTTCGCGCGTACGTATAATAATATAATTTAAAAAATTATATAAAAGAATAAAATTTAATAATTTAAAAAATATTAGATACATTATTGTCTCTTACACTATCTACCAAATATTAATGATTTAATAAATTTATCATTATAAGAACAAAATGAAATAGCTAAAGCAGTTATTTTTGGATTTCAACAGAGTGAAAACACAATATCTAGATTGTGAAACAAAGACCATGCAAAGTGAGAAATAAAATAAATTAAATATATTATCTTAAAATAAAGAACAACCAAAATAAGAAGAAAAAATCTAAAACAAAATTAAATTGTGGAAGAAAAATATGAAGATTAACAACAAAAGACGATTACCTCTAATAAACTTGAGATAAAGAGGTAAAAAAAAAAAAACAAAGGCTTAGAAACAAAGATGAAGAAAGAAGTAGTAAAATTTATATAATTGAGAACTATATATAGGTGATGCATGACTTTTAATATTTTTTTATTTATTGAACAATTTAAATATCATTAATGAACCTTTTAAATTCAAAAAAGGAGATGAAAAGCAGAAAAGACAAAATTTAGAGTGGTTAGAAACTTAAGATCACCGAAACTGTTTTTTAACAAATCAAATTAACCTAATAATGAGAAATAATTTTTATGTAGTCTTAGTAATAATAATAATAATAATAATAATAAAAGAAGAAGAAATTACTAAAAGCAATATTAAAGATTCATTATATTATTAATAATAATTAAGAGGATCAAAAAGAAAACAAAGAGACATAAATTAATCATGTGGAATAATCATCTAAGAGTAGTTGGGATGAAAAAAAAGACAAAAAAATATAATTAATCATAGAGTAATCATTTAAAAGTAGTGGGAATGAAAAGAAAACAAAGAGAAATAATCATTTTGGAAGAAAAAAAAATATAAATGAACTTTATATTTATATTAAAAAGTACTACCAAACTCAATCTTATATTCAACAATTATAATATATGTTGATGATGCATCGAGAGAGTGAAGAATGAAGAGTATGCTGGTAAAAAATCTGTTAACAAAATGTTACCGAGGCTTTCTCGCAAGGTATATTTCATAACGCCATGTTACTTGACTTTTTTCCTTCAAT